CCAGGAAGAGAAACGCTACCCAATCAATTTGGGGTAATTGAACAAATTTCAAACATAACAAACATAACATCTTAATAACACCAGCTGCAGTGATCAAAAGATGCTCGCCGATTTCAACGTTCACCCATTCCTTCAAACATTTTCAAAGCCGCGATACTGCCCTATTAACTGGTACATATTCTGATCGTGAGGATAAGAGACTTTGGAATTATAACTTTATATAAGAAACATGGAACATAACAAGTAAACAAAATCTTCTAGGCAATTCTCTAAAAGTACATCATACAATTTATGTGCAAAGTTTTCATCTATTCTATATAAGAAAGATTATGTTCACAACGGTGCGTTCGTTTTCCCCCAGGCAAACTGATATTGCAAAACAAACTAAACAAACAGCAGGCGCTTAACAAAGAGATCTAAACTCATACCTAAACAGCTATAACCCATGTTCTTGAAAAGCAAAACCAAAGGGGCCAGCAGATCACAGCAACAAAGCTAATAGTGGCCACTATTGCTGTACACGCTACCAAATGAATCCTAATGATATGGATACGAATAGGAATTGGGGCCGTGCCCATCAATTCCTGTCCGTATCCATATCATTCGGCGGTTACTGGCATTCAGCAATACGTGCTTTGCCTTCTGCGCTGAAACATTGTGTAACTGCAGAATTTTCGAAACACGCGGCATCAGGAAGCATCAAGAGCATCAATAAGTATACAATGAGCAGCAGCCATAATCTGTGCTTATCGATGCTCTCCATGATATTTGATGCCACGGATGTTGACAAGTCTACAGTTGACACGTTACATCGCGGGAAACAAAGAACATTTGGGGTCACAAAAAACGGCTGTGCACGGGGGTGAATGCGTTAAAACCAACAATGCCTAACTATTGTCATATGGGCGTTAAAACGATACTGTATGACACCACATTATTCTTTGATATGCTCATCTACCCTCTCAGCCTTTCGCTGACGGACGCCTGGGAACCTCTCCTCCCAGGCCGTTGCTATAGGTGCCACTGAGTCCGCAATTACGGCAAGTACTTCGACAGGAAACTGATTTGGCAAAAGTATTTCGTTGCTAAACGATAGGCTCGACGATGAATGAGATGTTAAACCGATCCAACCATTCATTCCAATGAATAACATATTCACCAAATTACAAAAACCAAAAGTAAAATCTACCCCACGAGAGAACATCTGCAAAATAAAAAAGCATCAGAGCCACGTGGATCACATTCTGCTGATTTCACGAGTCAACTCATAAATTTACTACCTAACAACTCAATTGGGTTAGACCATGTGAGAAGTCTTGCTACACAATACCGTAAATGTTAGTAATTGTTTCGTATCACAATATTACAAATCAGACATAAAAATCCTCAAATGACTCGACAAAGAACTTGTAAGATATGTCCAACATGTGAAATGTAAATAGTAAATATACAAAATAAACACAGTAATAGTTAATTATTGTTAACATTCACTGAAAATGGCCACGAGTACAGCGTAAGAAACCGTTTTACAAAACATATTTCGTATACTACACAAATAATCAAAATCGGATACGACAACACACACCTATGGTAAGCGGGGTGGATCGCGCCTATGTAGAGGGTTAATTTTTCATTGAGCGCTCGAGGACAGTGACCACGATAGCTGGGCGGGGCAGTTTTGATGACGTCATGGAACCATCAGTAGACTAAACCGCCCGGCGCGTTGGAGTGTAATAGGATCGTCTCTCACTCTTCTGTGACGTCATCAAAACCGCACCGCTTCCAGCCACGGCAATCACAGCCTCGATAGGTACTGAAAATAGGGTGGTAATGGAGATATGCAAACGATATAGGCGAAATGCAATGACAAATGAAATTTATAAAACTATGGAATTCAGCGGACAGGAATATTGTACGAATGCATTCCGAAATAAACATAATAACAAAATAACAGCACGAAACAGGTCGGACTCTCAATTAGGCGAGACAATGTGACGTCATTAAAAT